GGCGCAGAGTTTTCCTCTTTTGCCACTCCATTCAATGAATTCTCCCAACAAAACAGGTGGCTTTTAGATGGCGTTATGGATGCCATTTGCTAGTATGTATTTACTTTTATGATCTCCTCGGAAATGCCAGATTGGCGAGCCCCCCATGGCCCATGGCGCGGTGGGTACTCGGCTTGAGTCCCGACTTCTTAACTGCTCGACAAGTCTCGAACTTTCAGATCTGCATACATGAGGTTGATCTCCAGGTTTTCAACCCCTCCTTTGGGACCTTTGGAGAACGTCTGGAGTCCCGCAAAACCTTGGAATCTATACGGAGTAGCCCACGGGCGTACCCGATCATTTCCAATATGAACATCTCGGTGAGCGGCAAGGTCGCAACATTCCGAGCGGCAGGGCGATAACGTCTGTTTCACCCCTTGTCAAGACTCGAGACCCTGAAAACCTGAAAACCTCCGTGCGCTTTTGTTTGTTTTTGTTTTCTTTTCTTTCTTTTTCAATTGTTCCCGGATTCGAACCCCTCGGTCCTCCGCTTCACGGGAAACCCGCATTGTAGAAAGTGTTTGTTCCAAGGTTAGAGCGAAGCGGTGTATCCTGTGTTCAGAACCTTGACATCAGAGTTTAGCCTTGGAATTTTACTTTATGACGGATTGCAAGCGCTTGCTAATCGACTATTCAAATGATCGCCCAGATTCGGTCTCACCTGGCAAATTGCAATTTCCAACTAACTTGGACCTCGCAAATTGACACATTCACCGGAGTGATGTGATCCTTGCAATTCGCCATATCTCGCTGGCGACAGTCCCAAACTGCAAGTCACCCCGAGGGCGTTCGCGTGGCTGAACTCTGACTTTTCTGGGTCCAGCTGGGTCCAGTACCGAGAATCATATCCAACTTACTGCTAAGCATAAGCTTCCCCTGCTTTGCCTTGGTAAATACGAACGCTTTGGGCAGCGGCCTGTCCAGGTTGAAGTTGCCAAGTACGAAGGGAAATGAGTAAATAGCATGCATTAACGAGATGACAGAGGGGCAGGGCGTTTCTGGAGCTCTACAACATAGCTACCCCGCGTAGATACGTCTCGCGTCAGCTCTTGCATTGATGCATGCTTTTTGAACTCGGAGTCGATGCGACCGGGGCCCCAGGAATGGTGGACTTGTGTTATGGTCCAGGTTCCCCAAGGTTTCTTACCCCGCGAGCTATACCCCGGGATTCGCGTCGGGCAGTTATCAGTCTGGATCTGCCAATGAGATATGGCTGGTACAATATGTAGAATAGAATCTGCCAGATATCCCAACCACAGACCAAGATGTGTATCCATCCGATTCACCTCTACAATTAAAACGTTGTAGTCAACCATCCAATTAATCATGTCACACAACATACACATTCCAACCCGTTTCAACCCCCAATATCTCACCTCCATAGCACAAGATAGAGATCTCAACGCTGATTGGCCGATAGCTCAAGAATAAGAACTCGCACGCAAGCAACGCATATAGGCTGCTATGTATGCAATGTCGCACGTCACGCAAATCCCAGCCCTGCAATGCACAGCACCGAGCACCACCTGACCTTCCAACATCCCTGTTCTGCAGTTCTCAAGGGGCATCTGTATCCCAGACGTTGTATCTCAGAAAAAAAAAACGAAGTGGCACCACCGTACGGAGTACACATCCACCACTAACAAGACAGACAGGCGATCAGGAACAGCCGCTTTAGTCGATTCCGTATACATCGGATAACTAACTAGGTGGGTATACAACATACATGATGCGTACTAACTAAGTTGAGTGCAGCACGGACGTTAGTCGTGCAGATGAGATGAGATGATAGTAACACTAGAAAAGTATACTTCCAATATACTCTCTCACACTACCAACTAGTCTCTTTCGAATTTAGCACACACGGTTGGATATCTTGGCTAGACCCCACGCTTCTGCATAGCATGCGATGTGCGATTCAAAAAAAGGGCCAAAGCAACACCCCAAGATTCGACGACCGGCCAGAACGGAGGCGCTGCTGTCAGTGCGCGCGCGATCCCGGAGCTAACTAGTACGACTCGATGGGCCGTGGTAATAGTGGGGGGAGGGCGTGAATCGCTTTAGTTAGTCTGCGCGGGCGTGCATAAGACGCTGCATTAGTGCGGCGAACTAACAGCCATTCCCATGCATGACCGACGGGGTCAGTGCATGTTCGCTGTTTTTCTGGGCTGGGGGAGCAGGGACGTGGGTTTATCTCAGGGGGTTTCAGGACTTTGTTTACACTTTGCGCTTGTTGGATGAGGTTTTTGGTGGCTTGTTCTGGGGAAAATGATGTGCAACTTGCAGGTGTACCCCGACGTCGCGGGGTTTTTTCTCTCTCCACATTTGCTATTTTCGGATATGGGGTGGTTGTCGGTTGGCAATTCGTCTGACATGTCGGGATTTGGGAGGTTAGTCTGGTGTCGATGTCTGTTGAGAAGGTGCAGTTGATATTCCGTGCTCTCGGCTAAGTTGTCATTTATGAGGAGTCCACTATTTCCAGACCTAAAAATGGATGGCAATCTCGGAACCCGGATGGCCAGATATGGGTAGATTACATAACAGTCAAGTCACTCGGCTATCTCGAACCGTCATAATACGCCGGGGCGCCGGGGATTGGCTGCGTAGGGCCCGTTATCATTCCACGCGGGAGAGGCGTTTTCCGTCGTCAGCGTTATAGAACGCCCATTTTGGGTGGAATAAGTTCTGATTTTGGGGATTGGACCGATATCCGTCTCTTCAGATGCATTCCTTGCAGCTTGGAATGTTTCTTTCCTCCGTAGATGCACAGAGATAAGGACGCGGGGTAGGAGATTGGATTCAGCTCGTTCCCTCGGGTGGGTCAAGGGTCTGAGGATTAATGATCGCTGCTAGGTTGATCTACATTCTTCCTTGTTTGCTATCAACGATTATGCATTCAAACGTCATTTTGTAGGCCAATCGTTTTTATCCCTAGAGAGACGACATCTAAGAGAGAAACCGGATTGTTCTAACATATCTATCGACCCGCCTACGTAACTGGCCGTTTTATATAACCAGAATCATGTACAACATAACTACGGAGTAGTTATATATAGAATAGAAGCATCGACCAACTACGTATTCTTGTGCACTAAACCGAACCCTTGATACTTTAGGTATTGCTCCGAACACAAAGACATAGACTAGACTAACAATCCATGAATGTTCTCGGATTCAACGGATTCCTATCTTCGGACATTGTTGTATGCCTGCGCCCCTCAATTGCGGGGTGCATCTGCCACCTCATACTGTCCGAGCGAATTCTCACTTTACAGCTGATAGTCCGAGGTGTTGTATACCTTCCCAGTAGGTAAACAGCTGACAATGCGGAGATAGGGATAGGATCACGAGACAAGATAAACCTACCTTGGAAACCCTCAACTGATAACGCTAGTTGACGAATAGATCCTCTCATCTTGCTGCCATCCAAGGTCTCGAAGCTATACTCCATTCAAGCCACAGCGGGCGCCAGTGACCCGGCCCTACAAGCGGAGATCCCTGGACACAGACCTTCCCCACACTTCGACCTCTCACGCTCACTCAAATGATCACGACATGCATCTCTCACCGGGAGATCTGAGGAAAGACAGCGTCGGCGTTAGGTTTCCACGCGAAGTCGTATATCAAACTCCAAGACAGAGAAACGCAAATTCAAACCCCGTGCACTCACATGACACATGACACCTATAATGGCAGGTGTCTAGTTCCGACGTTCCGGCCTCGCAACAGTGTGCTCAGACTCCAAGCAAATGGCATTTCAAAGTCAATTCTTCGCTTCCTCGCAGCCACCCCCTCACCGCTACCCATGATAACCAGTCAAGCCATGGGAATAATGGAAACTGCTCATGTCCGCCACAAGAGAGGCGAGGTCTAAACGACTTCTCTTTTTATCCGCCTCTTTTTTTTCCCCTTTTGTTGGGATTCACCCCCGCTCCCACTTTCCGTGGCGGGCCAAGGACTATACCACAGCTCGACTGAAACTCTTTCTTCTCGGCCGGCCTGGTATGCTCAGGGACTGGTGCTCGGACTTGTATTGCGTTGTCACTGGAGGTACCTCTATCTCTGTCCATAGACCATGCGTGTTGTGCTTCCATGGCGTTGAGGGACGTGTCCTGCATCTTTGCCGCCACTGCGTCGGCGAATGGGGGCTTTGGTCGGGGAGATGGTGAAGAATAGCATAGATCCCTATAGTCTGGTTTAGAACAGGGTTGTGGATTTTAAGTCACCGGTATCGGGTGATTTGAATTTGAATTTGACTCTGTTGACCGCTTGGTCTTGTATGCGGGGAAAATGGCATAACTATAGATTTCTTCAGGCTACCTGGGCTGCTTTGACACAATGTCTTTGTTTGGAATATACGCGATAGCCTTTCATGTGGAATCTCGCAGCCGAGTGATCATCTTTGGAATTTGATCAAGACTGACACCGAGGAGTCTCAGTGTAGCCGATGGTCAATTAGACTCATTGCTGTGCAGTTGCTGATATTCTTCCGCTCTAGCAGTTCTACCTAGGCTACATATTATTCTAATTCGAATCTCAAGAGTCAAAGGGATTCTTCAAAGAAACTGCACGGTGCATGCTTAGATATATGTATTCTCCTGAAACCTCAGTTTGCCTGTTTTTCGCCTAAGGCCCGCAACCTCCAAAGAAGATCCCATGATGGAATCACCATCTTCCATCTTCCATCTACCACATTGCTATGTTTTCTCAAGTTTCATCGGGTGTGCAAAATCTACCCGTCGAGAACCACTCTGTAAAAGTGGCACAAGACGAAATTCTCTCCAGGCAGTCCAGATTCAAAGTCCGAAAGAGAGTTGAAGTTGAAGTTGAAGTGTTGTTGAAAGTGAAAAGGTGAAGCTGTAAGCGGGAGATCACCCATTGGTGGAGCCAACTCCATCCCACATTCACGAACCTTGGTCCTCACCTCTGTTTACTTCTTGACGGGACTTCTCCAAAACCCGATGTCTCAAGTTCAAAGTTCCGCGTTGGCGGATCTTGAGAAAGAGCTGGTATGCTCGGTATGTACTTGGCCATTCCACCCCTTGCATCTCTAACACTTTGCCCCAGATTTGTACCGAGCTCCTCTACCAGCCCCTCACTCTCCTCGACTGCCTCCACACCTTCTGCGGATCCTGCGTGAAAGAATGGTTCTCCGCACAAGGGTCGCGTCGCTCCCATGCCTCGCCTCGATTTACCTGCCCGTCCTGTCGCACCGAAGTGCGCGACACCCGCCCAAATGCCACCGTCACGACCCTGCTGGACATGGTCCTGACCGCGCACCCCGAGCGTGCTAGAGCTGCAGATGAAAAGGCGGAAATTGCTACGAGGTACACACAAGGCGAGTCGGTGTTCCCGGCACTTCCTTCGGGCCGGGAGAGCGCGGAGGATGGCGAGGACGATAGACGCTTGCTGGAGGATGTACGCGAGCTGAGTCTACGCGAAAGCCGGGCACAAGCTAGGCGCGAGGCCCGGCGAACGGGCCAGTCTTCGCGGACGCGCGAGAGGAGCACCCATACCGAGGGAACTGCGGAGGACGCCCGGTCAAGGCGGAGGAGGGATGAGGATCCAACGCGGCAGCCACGTACGTTGCGGCCCGATGATTCGGACCGTGCCCGACGGGTTGAACATCAATCTAGTCTGCGATCATTATTGAGTTTGTCGTCGGATGCGGAGACTATGGAGGAAGAGATCTTGCGGCAAATTCTCGAGGACGGATTACTGGACAATATCAATCTTGAGAATCTTGGGCCGAGGCAGGAAGAGGAACTCAGTGAACGCATCGCGGACGCTTACCGTCGGAGGCATATGCAAAGATCGCAGTCTCGACAGCGACAGGAACAGGGAAGAGAACAGCGGCAAGAGCCTGACGGAGCTGCGCGAACACATTCTCGGTCTCAGTCCGCCCAGCTGACGGAACCAATGGCGACTCGAGAACATAATGGTAGACGCCCGCCACTTTCCAGACCGCATCTGTTGGATTCGGCTCCCGCGCGGCCGAGCACCGCGGGCCATCCAGGTGCGCGCCGAAGGACCTCGCCCGTCCGAATGAACCCGGCGTCTGCATCGGATGAAGCTATAAGGCCTGCTGCTAGATCCTCGAGTGATATCACTACGGATCGCCACCTCTCTCAGGCTGGGCGCTTACGGTCGGGATCATCGTCAACCAGGCCGCGACGTGCTACAGAGTCAGAGCAGAATATTTCTAGAGCGTGGGTGGCCGGAGGACGAGAACGAAGCTCATCCAGACCGACCACGAGCCAATCAGCCACGAGCTTTCCCACTTTTAGCGCTGCGCCTTCTAATTCATTCCGTCATACGAGTCACACCGATCACACCCTTCCAGCATTATCCTCGCCCCTTGTTCCAGTCCGGTCAGACAGACGAACGAGACCATCTTCGTCCCGATCGAACGTTCCTGCATCCCCCATTGTACAATACCCCGAACCATCCATCTCCTGTGACCGTTGCGGAAAGAACAACATTCAATATAACCTGCACAAGACATGCACAAGTTGTAAGGAAGGGAACTTCAACCTGTGTCTACAATGTTACCGCGCGGGACGTGGCTGTCTTCGATGGAGTGGATTTGATGCCTCCGCACACACGACCTTTCAACGAATCATATCGTCGTCTACTCGACGCCCTTTACAAATTAACGACTCCGGCCATGACTTATTGTGGTTCAAATACCTGCGGCCCTCCGAGACTGCCCATCAAACCGTGAGCGGGGAAACCAAAATGACCAACGACAACCCAGCCCGCCGGCTACAAAGCGGTCTCTTCTGTGATACGTGTCAATCGTCGACAAACGATTGTTTTTGGAAATGCAGCCACTGCAACGAGGGAGACTGGGGTTTCTGTAACTCCTGCGTCAACCAAGGACGATGCTGTACCCACGCCTTATTGCCCATCCGGCGCATTACCAATAGCCCATCTCCCCCTGCACCGTCCCCCACATCACCGGCTGGATCAAATACCCTCACGTCATCCGAGATCGAGAGCTTCAAAATCCTCTCATTCTCAACCAACTGCGATATCTGCACATACCCAATCCCAGCCTCAAACACCCGCTACCATTGCTTGGAATGCAATAGCGGTGACTACGATGTCTGTACAAACTGTTACCTCAAACTTGTGGCAACGGGCAAAATCAACAAAGAGAACGGACACAACGGCTGGCGCCGCTGCCTCGCCGGCCACCGTATGATAGTAGTCGGCTTCGAAGACCACGAAGAAGGCCAGCGCCGCGTCGTGGTGCGCGATCTCGTGGGTGGCCGCGCCCTGAAAGACGAGCACGTAGCACAATCAAAATCACAATCACCAACTTCCCCAGCATCGGGTTGCCCAGTCGCATCCCCAGAGCTAGGAACCGGTGACTGGAGCTGGAAAGAAGGCCCCGAGCGCCGTAAGAAAGCATCCCGTCTGCGCGCCGGACATGCTCCTACAAACAGTATCACCGGAAATAATTCCGATCCCTCAAATCCAGCACATTCCAGTACCGCGAGTCCGGTTCAGGGCATCCCGCCCTTCCGCCGCTTCCCGCCTGACGGTGGTGTCGGGCTCATCGTCCACGCTCTGTGGTCCTGGTACCCAGAAGTCGAAGACGAGCTTGTTTTCCCGCGTGGTGCGCATATCACCGAGGCGGAGAATATCAATGATGATTGGTTCTGGGGATGCTATGCTGGTCGGACGGGACTGTTTCCTGGTTCGCATGTTGAAGTTATTGGTGAGATCCATAGGTGAAGTGTCTTGGCTTTTTTCTTTTGCTTTTGAACATCACAGCAGATATGATACGCATGATATGCATCGTATCATATACCCGTTCTGTTTTTGCGTTTCTTCGTTGCATGGTTACGATATTTATGATGATCGGAGTTATGAATTTGGATGCTGCATGAGCGTTTCCGAGCATTGCATACATAGCATATTGTTACTTGTTAGATTCAATGAGCCATGGACTTTTCTATGTCTATACCGTGATATTATCGAACGAATATAGATCCTGTGATGTTCTACATACACCACCACGCCAATGAGACCGCCGACCAGTATTCCTATGCAGACATGTTATTTCACCACACATATTCCACTCATCCCTGTAGTCTTCGTTGTTCCTGATAGTGTGTTAGTTATTCCTGTCAAGATACCAGATGCCTGTTTGTTGCGGTATCCTGGCTGAGTTCAGTCGTTTGTGGCCTATAAATGTGTGCATAAAAATGAATTTATCATTCTCTTCTCCTTTCTAAAGCATACCAACGATGACTACCTATCCATACTACCTGCTTTACTATCTGGCAATACTTTAGTGAAACCATACGTTCCTCACCTTACATTCATTCGTTGGTTTACTTATCTCCTAGCTAATTGCCTTCTTCTAATTCTCGAACAGTGGTCCGCGGTTTCGGTTACAGCTGTTGCTGGCAAGTTTGACCGTGTTCTCGGTGCTCCGGGGTAATTTTTGTGGCAGAGACACATCCAGCACCTCCTCAATCTCCTCTCCGCCGTCAACGGTCTAAACTACCTAAACCAGTAGAGCCTATCACAGAAGGCCATCTACCAGTAGGGCTGTTCTTTTGGAACGCAGCATTGCTCCCTTATTCCTACGACTGGGTATACAGTTCGAGGATCCCGTGGGGCCAAACAGCGAGTATTACTATACTATCCCGTCCACCGTTCGCTCAATTAGGCCGAAGGCTTTAGCCGGGTCAAGTTGATGCTCCACCATCCCTTCCGTGCAATCGAGGAACTACTCGAGCGAGACGGTACCCGATTTCCCTCATTCACCGCTACATACCAACATTGCATCCATATACACACTCATCCCCGTGACGTCTCCGGGGAGGATCCAGGCGAGGAGACAGAGGAGCTATTTGAGGAAGAGGATACGGTCCCCTGCGATAAGGAGAAATACAGGCCTATAGTACTAGAAAACATCGTAACAATTTCACGAAAATAATAGTCAGGAAGTTAGCGGAAAGCCTACTAAATGAACCCAATAAGTAAACTTTAACGCTATTACCACGTTAGCAACCGCTAATAAAGGAACTTACTATTTCGGAGGGATAGTAATCGCAGAAGATAAAGGAAGGGTTAAGTAGATTAGCAACCTTAAATAAGCTGATACGGCCACTTAGAACGGACTCGACTAGATACTAGATTTAGGGTCTTCCTAGTATATTTGTATAGATAGAGAGCTCTTTGTTACCTTCTAGACATATAAACCAGGAACAGCCATCGGGTAGGACTCAAGCGCCGGATAATAAGCGGTAGCTAAAGGTCATAGAGACATTATCCTACCAATCCAAACATGAGCTACGAGTTACGTGAATATAAGCCAGGAAACAGATTCAACCCGCTTAGCCTGATCAAGATACGCCAGGATCAAGGAGTCAAATGGAACCCTGACGACATGGTGATCAAATCTTAGCGGCACAACGGCCGGGACGTGATGGTGAAGACCCGGACGCACTTGGCCAGCGTGCGCCACCATTCGTTTTTCAACCGTAGAGGGTATGGGCTATCCAAACTTTTGTAATTGTAACTCTGATTCAACCTGTCTGTTCATGGCTCCTATTAATAATCTCTTGTGGCCATGAAAGCCAATCTCGATATTTCGGATCTAATACAGAGTATAATTGGGTCATAAGGCGCGAGCTTAGACCTTCCATCCACCACATCCACTCGATCTGACGAATAGATGCGCACCAATGAGCAAAGATAATGAGTGCAATCGGTGCTTCCTGGCGCAGGAGATTTAAATATTCATCCGAGACATCGAGCAGCCATCGGAAGATATCCGCGGTCTCGAGCCTCCGCATGATGCCAGGTCTTATAGCTAGGCCCAATGTTCGGGCAAGTTCATCTAAAGCCTCTTGGTAGATCGCCCGGAGTGGTGGGTCAGCCGCGCACTCCCTCCATATCATTTGCTGCAACTCCCACACATGCGGCTTGCCTTGCTCAAGGGCCTGTGGCGAGCGATGGGCAGCAGCTAGATAAGCTCCATTCGTGAAGATCGGTGCCAGCCTCCCGGTACGAAGATCCTCGCCGCCGGTACGGATAACAGTCGTTGTCCCTCGGAAAAGACGGGCCCACTCTGATAGATTGCCGCGCTCAAACAGGACCAGGAAATCGCCTTCTTCCGATGGCTTGGCGCAGGAGAACATGCACGTTAAAGAGGAGAAAATGAAAAGTGCAGAGCCGTTTTCTCGTGCGAGCGGTGAGACAAGCGGGATCATCTCTCTCACGGCGGTGCTGTGGTGCATCTGTGCGTGAGCGAGGCAGGCTGCACGTCGAGATTCGTCGGAGCGAGCTAGATGTAGCGCAGAAAATGCTAGCAAGGTGTGCAATACTGGCGGCGTTGCAAAGCCGATTCGAGGTGCTTCATTGCACCAGACAGTTTGCACAGTGGGACTGCGCGATAGTGTGTAACAGGTTGACGTTGTCCAGTGATGCAACAGTTCCAGGTCAAAAACAGCCAATGTGGAAGGGAATGGTCCTAATGAGGACAGGCTTGGTAAGACTTGGGAGACTTGTGCTAGGGCACGAGTTTTTCCAGATGTAGTGCTCTCTGGGCCAGATAGTGACACGGGTGACTCTGCTGAGTTCGCTGGTGTGGAAAGCACAGTCGAGGCACTGGTAAAGGAACAAACCACCCCGTGCTTCTCACAATTTCGGCAATGTGGCTGGTTTTCGTCACACTGATACAGAATTATAAGCTAGAGCGCAATAGGAACATTGGTGAATCTCTCACCTTGACTTTTCGCTTTTTGCATTGTAGGCACCCAGATCGCGATTTCCGGTGCGAACGGCGGCCTGGAGGCAATGTGGCCATTTCAATCACTAGCAGATACTATGAATGTATAGACCCCGCGAGGCATCTAACATGTATTGCACCATTGAGATGGAATATAGGAGGCCAATATTCCGTGGTTTTACGGAGGCGTCTCAGATGCTGGGGGCTGCGCTAGCCGAATCCGGTTAGCGCTATCATTTTGGTGGGGGCGAAGCATCCATGGGTGTATTCTTAGTATGGACCTCACGATCTTTATAATTAGAAAGAAGCATAATTAGTTATGCTGTGTATGAGCTGGAATAAATCTGACCGGCTCGAAGGACCCATATATAGAGAGAGGGATATTTCTCTGCTCAAATGAAAGAATATTCAAGTCACAGTCGTGAAGGTCATCGAAAGAAACAAAGCAGTCCACGAGAATAATAGAATAACATATACGATTTTCAAAATGATACTCAGTAAAAGACTATTAGTATTAACTATCTAGATTTAAGTATATCTATGTGTAGATATATATTTCATCGAATGATAAACCATTTCCCAAAAGGAACTTGTTCAAATTATTTCGAGTCAATCAAATCTTGAACATCTAGATCGCAGTAATGTTGATAACCATGCTGTTTTACATAATGTTGTCCGCAACCGTCTTTGACTTTTACATCTAGAGCCTGCGGCCGGACAAAACGGTCGAAGTCCCGTCCTATTACGTAGCCCCGCATCTCTGGTATGCTGCACCTCCTTGCATATGTAACGTGTCTCGATAAGACAATCCGCCCTCATAACATAGGTCGAGCACGGCTCTCCACTTGGCCTGCATGCATGACATCGGGCGCACTGCACGGTATCCTGTCTTGAACCCTGATAACTGACCGCTCTTCTTGCTCGGTCTCTTTAAATGACCGAATGAGCACATACATTCGTAGCATCAAACCCAATATCAGCGAATATCTGGCAAGATCTCCCACAGTAAGTACTTGGCACTCTGAGTAGCGCTAGCGCATACTGATCAACTCATAGATGCCTCAAGGAACTGGAAGCCTGACAAGCGACAAAGGACGAGTCCTTGGTCAATTTGAAGTTGAAGGCGCTCAGTATATTTTCGTGGGCAACTTGACTGGCTTCGGGCAGTCTTTCTCCCTTCCCAATGCCGACGTCACCTATGAGTCAGCCGACCAGTTACACAAAGAATCTGAAGAATTCGAAAAGCTGCCCATAGAAAAAGACCAGATTGAACTCAGGCTCAAGAATGGGGTTGCAATCACAGGCGGTTTTGATATGCCATTTAGCGATGGCGAGATGAAGAAAGCGATCATTGTCGGCGGTGGAGGGAAATGGTTGAAGTTGTGATTTGCTGAGTCATGACTTTTGAATATTTGAGAGAACTTGCAATGTTGGATTGAAATGAATCAGAGGATGATGAATCAAGGGGTTAGAAGTGAAACGATGTCCACTTAGCATCAGTATAGTGGACCGAGGCTATCAAACTTGGCAGTAAGGCAACAACAATCTCTTTAATTAGAACCCACAAGGTCGAACCCTGAATACGAAACGTCCTCCACTCGTGAAGATTGGCAGACGTCAACAATTCTAGAAAGCCGGCAGGGCTGTGAACGCCCCCACCTTACTGCGCCACACTCGAACCGAGCTGCCGGCATATAAACAGCCCCTCAACCCTCAGCCCGGACCATTTATGACCTGCATACAACGACCCGCAGTCTACCATGTCTTACCAACCTAACCGTGAGTGGCATTTCAAATACATTTCCAGTTTTGACAGGAGCTAACTCAGTCAATAGAACCTCCGTATGGAGGATACGCGCCCCAATACGGACAACAAGGCCCGCCTCAGGGGGGCTATCAGCAGCCCTATGGTGCCCCTCCCCCACAGGGCCACTATCCCCCGCCTCAGCAGGGACATTATCCTCCACCCCAGCAAGGCCACTACGGTGCG